TGTTCTCATCTCACATTCATTAGGGGCATGGGGACCATTCGGTGTTGCCGTACCCATGTAGGATCGCTCCGTCAGTCGGGGTTCCTTTTATTTCGTCCTCTGTCACTCCTCGAGTTCTGCTCCAATCGATCTACTTCTAAACAGAGATATCCTTGAGCAAAAGCTTGATATCGAAGATCATTCCCCCTCTTGTTGACGTGTCTCCAGCACAAAGTCATTAGATCTATCCTTTTACCAGCCGCCCGGGCTTTTCCTGTCCCCCCCATGTCCCTTGTCTCCATGCGCCCAAGAAAGTCCCTCCACCCACGGATACCCTTTTTCTAGGAAAGGATCTGCCAGGCTTCGATTTCGAAGGTTTTTCGAGGCTAATCCTAGTAGGCCCACCAGCTCTCCCATCTTGTCTTTTGGTCCAACGCCTTGGAGATTTCCAAGTTATCTCAGGCTCCGCCTCGTTCGGCTACAACACCAATCCACCTCTCAGCTCTCACCTGGCCGCTCTTCCACGGCAACTAATCACTCTGAAACACGAGCCCTGGTCGAGGATCTGCGTTCTTAACATAAGATGGCTTCTACTAAGGCCGTCATTAAAAATGGGTTCGGGAGCTGAGCGATCTTGGATGAAGGAACGTTCAGGCTCCGTGTCTACCCCCGAAATGAAAAGGGGTAAGAGCGCTTGAGGTCATACGTGGGGATAGAGATGATAAGAGAGAGAGGGGAAAAAGAGAAGAAAAAGGAGATGTCGAGCGCGTGTTGGGAGAAAAGGGGACTGTGGGCCAGAAAAGAGCGAATTTCGCGCAAAATGACGAAAACCGGGAGACGCTTTTCCTTGGTATTTTGGTTTCCCGTCGCTTTGCAGTCTAATGGCTGGCCATGTGAATTTTCGTGTAGCCTGCTGCCCAACATCTCACTACTAAATCAAAGATTGCGAATAAGCCCGAGAGTGAATTGACGACTTGTCTAGCTCAATCTTGCTGGTGGGAAGAGCTGGAGAAACGGCAATCATTTCCACCTTTCCGTCTCGGTGGTGTTCTTCCCGATGTACAGAACGTCACATTAGAGACCATCTTACACCCACTTCTCAATGCATCCAGATACAACAGTAAAAACGTTGCCTCCTTCAGTCCACCTCTTGCGTTGAGAATTTTGGTATAAAAAAGTACATACTACTACCCAACCGCCCATCAAATTGAACGTGATAATGATCTCGTGTGAGAAAATGAGCAGACAGCCAAGCCACGTTTCTTCTTGATATTTTTTTAATTAAATAAAAAGAACAAGAAGAAGAAACATGCTAAATTATTTTGTCGAGGGAAAGAGATCCAGATGGATGATTAGTGACCTCACACCTCTTTGATAGTACCCACCTCCTCCTGAAAAGCTCGTATGGTGGAGAAGGAATACGGCTGCTTGGGCTCGCGAAGAACTAAGATGTCATCTACTTTGGGTCGGTTCGCCCTAGATCCACTGGGCATGCTTAGATTTGGCTCATGACCCACCACCTACGAAGCCCCATTCCTCTCTAAACGTATTTCGCCTCTTGCCCCGCACCGCCCACTTCCTTCGAGAGGCGATGAAGAAAGCAGTGGAGAGGAAGAAGGGGAAAAACCGCCGATGGGGGCCAACCGACAACCTGTAAAATAAACAAGGCGGGGCACGCGAACCAAGTGACCAGCTAACCTGTGATCCCTCAAGGAGGGAAACCCGACTACTTTTTGACTACAAGGATATATGCCAAGGTCGGAGGAGTGGAAAGGACAGTGAAGTTGGGGAGAACGCTCCCATGAGTGCCAACCGGAGTGGACTAGGACGCAATGTCAAGTTTAGAGAGACGTTCGCTGGCCCTGCACCGGACCGAAGCCTGTTGTCCGACGGGGCTAAATACCCCGCGGCCGGAAGGGGGTAGCAATGCCTAGTCCCGGAACTTGAAAGAGTTCAAAGGGGACAAAGGGCGAAGGAAGCCACAGATTGTACGACTTTGCTATCAGGGAAAGGGTTCATAAACTTGAAGAGGGGAGGGGGAAAAGGACAAAAAGACAAAAAAAAAAAAAGGAAAAAGGAAAAAAAGAGCGAATTTTCTTGGCCACCCTTCCCAGGAGGGGTCCAGGGCCGGGTTCTAGGCCGTGGGGACACCGGATCCGGGGGTTGACTGACCAAGGTGTGAGCCCTGGTCAGCACCTGCCTTCTCTTCAATGTACGAAGCATGCGCCCGCGGCAGGTCCAATCATGTCGCTCGCCTTGATGTGACCCGCACCTCAACGCACAGCGCGACTTCCCATCTGGATCCGCTTTTCCTGTGGCTCCTCCTTCAGCGTTGACGAACGTCCGCACGAGAAATAGAGAGCCAGTGTCCCGTGCCAGCGCCGTTGATGATTTGTCTAGACTTGCAGGAGATTTGAGGCGGGTTGGGTTGAAAGGGGGGCCGCTAATTCTCTTCCCCTTAGCGCATTGCAAGACAACATCCACATTACCTCGCCTTAGTGCGCGCGGCGAGCGATGCACCAGACGCCTCCACGGCCTCGTCACTGGGTCTAGAGCGCAGGAGAACGAACCCTCATATTGATCAGGGTACAATGGAGGGAAGAGGGTATCCTTTTTCCTTTTCCTTTTTTTCCTCTTCCCCTTCCGCCTCCCACGCACTACCGCCACCACCATCGACTTCCTCATTCTCTTCCCCCCTTTCCTTCCCCTTCCCCGCACACAGCTGGACCGCACCCAAAGCTGGAAAGCTCCAGTCCTTTCACCGCCTAGCGTCTAGCCCTTCCCGAACCAGCCACGACAAAGGTCCTAGCCTCCCCCTCTTTGCCTCGCTTTTCCGTGACGGCCTAGGCTGGTCTTCCGCGCCGGCGCCAGCGCGTCAACGGACTACGCCTGGCCAACCAGGATAGAAAGGAGCCAAGCCATGATGCAAAATAGGTGAAGGGGGAAAAGGGCACGCCAGTGGGCGTGAATTCTGAGAACGAGGGCAATACGTTGCGGGCAGTCATCGATGACGATGCCATCCACCCATCAATTATATTCCCAAGCCAACAGCAACTAAGATTGGGGAGGCACGGTCACAAAGGGTACCGAGTAGTGAAGAACAACCCTCCTTGCGCATCGCCCGCGCAGTACAAGGCAGGTCCCGGAGTGGGGCAAGTTTCCTCTCCGCCACACGAGACATAATGACCCATACTGAAGTCCGATTCAGAGCACTGTGTTATTGCAATATCCCGCCTCGGCGCAAAGCTTCTCGAAGATCCGTTATTATCAATTATATATTAAGTCTTATATGTGTTTGCGTCTCTAGTAATGACCCCACCCCCGCCCCTCCCAAATTCGAGGTGAGGTTGAAGGTAATCGAGGAGGCATATCAAACACCTATCGGTAGACAAGTCGTGCCCCGTTCCCACTCACATACGTATCCGTGCAGGTACCTGTATGCTCAATGACCCCAGTCTACCGTGAGGCCCTGTTTCTGCAGCCACTTGCAGCGTGGCCGGGTCCAGGACCCTAATCCATCTAGTCGTCTTTCGTACTTTGCCTTCACGGTCGCCGGGCCTGGACTGACTGGAGGGATGCTCTTCTCTCCGCCCTGTACAGTAGCAGGTCACCAGGTGCTGGCTGCCCAACGTGTATATCCATGGGCCGTAGGTGTCCATCAAGAGAATAGGGGTCCATCAATGACACGAGTAACCGCATAAACAACGTTAGCTGACTCGCTGACGCTAAGAGTATTGTACAGCGCTGGTCTTGTCCAGCATGCTCCGCCAGCTCTTCTCCCAGAGCCTACCCTGTCCGTGACGTAAAACCAAAAAAATCGAGATAAAAGCGAAACAATCCTAAACCGAGAAGAAAACGTCAAAAGTTAAAACATGCATAGTGTCCGTATAGAAGTACTCCGTCCATCTCCTTTGTTGAAACGAGTGCCCGTCGTGTCAAAAACAATAATCGATCTCAATGACCTTCATAAATTCGACCGTGGTTTTTTCTTGTTTAGAACAGAGAAAAACAAAAAGGAAAAAAAAAGAAAAACTCCAAAACTCGCACGTGCTCTCTACTCTCTTAGATGTATCTTCGGCCTTCATATCGGGGTATCGGATGGTGGAAGAAAAAACCGGCACATTAATCCATCGGCGGTCTCGTTGGGTGGGCCCTGGGCATCCTGCCGCGTAACGTAGCAACTAACAGAGCTTTCCCAACTCCGGCATAGGCTTCCCGCCGAATGTGCTTCGGATACGGATGGCAAACTAGGCGCAGAGAAGAGAAGGTGAGAGTAAGAGGGAGGAGACGGTGAGCCATGGTAAACGGAGTCCCAGGATGAGGTGGGAAAAGGATCCTTCAAGGATGACCTCGAGCTAGAATATTTCCTAGGCCCTGGTTGCTGGTTCTCACGTCGCCTTGCGCCGAAACGCCTCGCCCTTGCCGCCGATCCGCAAACGCCTGCCGCTGATTAAAGAAAGTCGAACGAATGATTATCGCGCCCTTCAAACCGTTTTTGCCTTTCTAATTTCCCCAAATTCTCGGAATGTGCTGCCCTGTGTCGTGTTCGCTATCGACTCCTCAGAGTCGCGTTTCTTCTATTAGAATTGTTATATCGTCCATGAGAATCTTTTGTTCCTTTTTTTCGTTTTTTGAGTGGATCGTTGGTTTCTCGCCCTTTCCAAGCCACGTAAATGTAGCCTTGAAAGATTCAAAATCTGGTTCATTATTCCGACTGGTGATCTTCAGAACCGGCCTCTGAGCGAGCCTCACCCTTGTGTACTTTTGGTGCCTGCGGAGATTGGACACGACGGAGAAGTGTTTACCACAGCCTTCAACCTCGCAAGCATATGCTGTTTCCCTTTCCATTAGTACTTTCTTCGTTTCTCTTGGAATTAAGGTTGGGGGTAAAAACTTACGCTTCTCTCCCGTGTGGCTGTACATGTGCGTTTGAAGCGAGCTTGGGCGCGTAAATCGCTTATCACATACTTTGCACTTGTGTTTCTTTTGCGTGCTAGACGACACCTTTGAACTGAACTGGCTCATGAGTGACTGGGGGCAGGTGGGACCTGGCTCGTCATCATATTCTGCGGCCGGGGAAGCGCCCGGGTCCTGGACAGGTCTAGATCAGAGCCCATCGTCGAGTAGTCGCTAATGGAAGATTCTCGGTAGGACCCGTAGTTGCTGGCGGAAGAGATGGAGGAGTTGGTAGAATGAGTGGAAGGAAAACCGTAGGAATCAGCGGAACCCCGTTGGCCTCGGCCCGGACCATAAATATTTCTGGGGGTCTCCTGGCTCATAGAAAGAAGGCCGTGGCTGGCATCCATAGCGTCCGGATAACCACGTCTATCAGGTTGCTGAAGACCTCTGTTTCAAGGGGAAAAGAATAAGTACGGTTAACAACACAGCGCGACTTTCACTTCTCAACCTCTACGGAAGAAAGAGACTTACGACTGAGAGAATCTCCTGGTCGCATCGGTTCCCGGTGGGAGCGTGAAGGTGGGTCGAATCGAGTTTTGGGCGTAGGCTAAGCTGTCATACGGTGACGTAGAAGGAGGGTAATGTGCGTGAACGGGAGATGAAGACGAGTAGGAACCCTCGGCATACTGGGCTGCTGCGAGGTTTGGAAGTCGGTTTAGTCCAAGAAGATCTTGCGCTACGAAAGAGAAGGGTAAGCAACTTTGCAAAAGACGGTAAAATCCAGTATCTCGGGGGTCGGCATACCTGCTGATGTGGCTGTTACGGGCATAGAGGCATATGAAGCTGAGGACGAAACGCTACTCGTGCTTGCACGCGTAGAGTGCTGTCTTGGCATGCAATTAAGGCCCATGTCTGGCGCAAGGTTCTGGTGGTGGTGATGGTGATGCTGCTGCTGTTGTTGATGGTGGTGCTGGTGCTGGTGAGGGTTATGGTTGTTTCCGACATAGAGGTTGTTGCTTCCGGCGCCGGGCGCGGAGCTGACGCCCATGGATCAGAGAACTGAGGGGAGAGGCGGAGTGAGCGTATGCGGGATCAAAGTTCAGCCCGTAGCGCTGGTTGGTGTCTAGTGTGAGCGTCATGATGGGTAAATGTCGATAGGCCGAGTCTCCCACTCTATACTAAGCAATGTGTATCCAGTCTACCAAGAGCGTGAGCAGGTGGAAGCATGAGATGTGTAAGGAAGATACGAGAGTTTGGACGACACAATGGGAAGGAAGTTGGAGTAGGCGGCAGTGGACAAGATATATAAGTTATTGTGGTGAAAAGTGGGACCTATGTGTGCTTGAGAAACAGGGGGTGGGATGGGGGATGTGTCTTTAAATGGTGCTTGGGAAGCGTGAGGGCGTGCGAGGGAGTGTAAAGGAGGGCGACCTCGGACATACACCAAAGAAGGTTGTGAACACTGGTTGGCTTTGAACGACGTTGAATGCGGAAGTTTGACTGTCCTCTTTCTAGGCGCTGATATGCAACCGGCGCATTCGAGATAGAAGGCGCACAAATTGAAGGAAATTCTTCTCCAAGTTGCGCTCCGTGGATGGTCTTTTGGGCAAGTGTGAAGGCAAAGAGAAGGCGCGTTGGGGGAATAAGAGAAGGCGGAAAGAGCAGAGTTGGAAACACTTGATCGTCAAGTGCGGGAGGGTGTGGGTGTGATGGGACAAGTCAAGAAAGAGAAAGGAAGGAGGCCAGTGACTGGTGTGTCGACGGGTGGCTCCTTTTCTTTCTTTTCTTCACAGAGAGAGATCGACAGGCCACTGTCAATTCGCGAAGAGAAGGCGGAGTTGGGCCAGGGTTGAGGATGGCAGGTAAAAACCCGAACCCTGAGTGGGTATGGAGTATTCGAATGATGGGGGAAGGGGGAAGGGGGTAGAACAGGGTTAGACGCAGGTAGTTCGCAAGGGAAAAGAAGGTGAGCTGGCTCAGGTACCTTCAGAGGTAAATTGCTTGGTCACGGATCCGGGAACCAGCTAAGGGCGGCCGAGGGGGCGGGAGCTGGGCCGGTACAACTCGGTAGATAATGGCGAAAAATAAATATGGGGGGTCAGATTTGGGGTGGTTTGAGAGAGAGAGACCAGCAGGGTCCCACAAAGGGCACAAGGGTCGAGGATCAGCACAAGATGGGAAAGGGTTACTAGCGGGCCTTTGGGATTAGCTTAGCGCTCAAACTGGCGTCGTCGAGAAAGAGCGAAAGGTTGATGACTTCAATGCCGTCCTTGGGGGTGTCGATCTGGTCGCAACGGGCACAGCTCGCTCTCGCCCACTGCTACTGGCGAGGTAGGGGGCGCTGTCAATCACCGAATGAAGGTGCACGAGATTAGACGTCGATGCCCACGCCGAAGCTTTCTACTAGCGACCCTTATCTTCTGTTCTGATATAACGGCAAAATATCGTGTGGTCAAAAGTGGTGGTGTCGGGCAATGTGGGAAAAATAATGAGTTTGAAAGCAACGAAGAAGGTAGTCGTCAGCTGTTCATCCAACTATAGAACGGAGAGAAAACTAGGGTCTGATATATATGGGGGATATATGGTTGCTCTCTTTGACTCAAGCGTGGCGCTTGACAGAAATGACAACAGAGTTGGGAAGAAAAGAAAAAGAGAGAGAGAACAGGTGCAAGTTCGCATTCCACGCCTTCACTTTCCTATCTCCCGCCCCTAGCTCTCTCTCTCTCTCTATGTTTTTCTCTCTCTCAGTGTTCCCCCTTTCTTTCTCCGCTTCAAACTTGGGCCCCTTTGGTTCGAGACGAAGGGCGATGATGTCGACCAGGACACCACAGCCACTAGTAACACCGGGGACACGAAAGGGAGGGGGCAAGTGAAGAGTGCTGTCCTGGAAAGAAGGACGGGTTTTCTTGTACCTGATGAGGTACTGTCAAGATACTGTCAAGATACTGTAGACAATACAAACAGTCGCTGTATTTCGACTTGGGATACATTATTACGCCTTGGGGCTGGCGGGGGACCATGAGAAGTCTCAATGGGTGGGAACGGACAAGTAGAGTCGACTAAGGATTGTATTCACGGGTAAAGCGTAATGTGTGGAGCAAGCACGGTAAGTGAAATACTGTATATCTTGCTGTGGTGGGAGCAGTCGTTTTGGAGGTGTGTATATAGAGTGATGAGGTCAATTGTCATGGGGCGTGTTTCTAAATCCATCAACTTCGAGCCCAGGGTGTGGGTGGGTGTGGAGAGTTGCCGTCCAGCCAGGGTTGAGCAAGGTCTTGAGTCTGTACTGAATACCACCTCTATAGAGTATTACAGCTTCCATGTTATGTACCTAGTACTCTTTGAGAAGAAGTCGCCTCTCCACCTTGCGGACCTTCACTCCTCTCCTTTTGACCTCTGGATCCCTTGTTCAACGATTAAGGGACAGCACAGTTAATTAACAGTGTCAAAACGATCCTCCAGGGCATCAGTCACCGCCTCAAAAGTACTCTTTGAGTCCTATTACAGGGATCGTGAGGAGAGGGCGAATGGGTCCGTCAGTTGGACCTCGACACGCACTGTAATGTATTAATGGGTGAATCAATGGTTGTAGTTGACGTTTGCTTCTCCCTGTGAGCTCAGAACCGGCACTATTTTATTTTATTTTATTTTATTTTAAATTAAAAATTTTCGTTTTTATAAATCGGTTTTCTTCCGTATGGACGCAAAGCCCATTTCTTAGCCGCCATATTTATAGTATAGAATATTTTAAAATGGGGCACCCCTTCTGTGAAGGACTGATGAGAACATTAGGGTGTCGTGGGGTATACAGCCCAATGCCGGAGAAGCTTGGGGGTGAGGAGTGAGATCCAGTCTGAACTGTCGCGCCCACCATACACCATGGACATCTCGGGTTAATCTGCTAGGAATGGGCGGGTGAAGCAAGATGGTGGGGAGGTGAAGGAAAGGGGACCAGGGGGGCGAATGTTTGATGTCATCAGCTATCACAGGCTCGGGTCGACAGCTCTCAGGCTACTAGACAAGCAGGCAGGGCTATGAAAGGTGCAACTGTACTAGGTATGGCGTTGCCTTGCGGGGGTTCTCGAAAAGAAGGATTCTCACGATCTGTGGATGTAGTACCCAGGACTTTCTCCCTCCCTGGGTCGCAACTCATGAAACCAGAGAACGAGGCTCAGAATTCTTCGATGGTGAGCATCGAGCCTGCCCTTCCTTCCCGCCCTCCTTCAAGACATACAATAAAAAAAAAAAAAGCAACCCCTATCAGAGAGCCTACCTCTTCGAAGAGGAAAGAGCGGATTTTTGGAGTACAAGCCGTGATGCAGGGACCGAGGTCTGGATCTCTTGAGGACGACTTGTAGCCTCAGGCTAAGGTGGCTCATGGCCTCGGGGAGAGAGGGGGTTTTCCCGGGCTTCTTTCTTATTTACTATAGGGCGAAATGTGTACTTTCGATCGTAGCCAAGGTCGCGTCTCCGGAGAGCCAGTCACCTAGCATTGCTGAAACGGGAGAAGAAAAAAAAGTAGGCAAAAGGAAAAAGAAAAAGAAAAAAGGTAGAGCGGGGGCATGAAAGCTCTTGCTTGTTAGCAAGGCAAGGATTAGTATACTACAAGTAGGTTGTGGATTAAAAAAGGTGGGGAAGGAACACATCTGGGCCAGTAAAATCGGGTGGTATTTCGCCCGACTGATGGTAAACGGGTTACGAGCAGATTCCGGCGTTAGACGGAACTACTCTCGTAATCTGATGTGACGGGGAGGTCCAGCCCAGCCGGTTCGCCTCAACCACACTGACGCCCACAGCTGCGCAGAGTGATGGATTAATGCCAGGGGCGACAGCGGAAGCCTGCTGCGCAACCCTGATTTGCCGCGCGCTGGACAACCAGGCAGGGAAGTTGGATGGATCCTTTTTCTGGTGGCGTTCTTTATCGCCGAGGACACCCTGCCCAAGAGTCCGTCATGGGCTATATTCTCCCGAGTCGAAAACACCGTGCTTCGTAAAAGACGAATCCATTATTACTATCCGAGCTCTTCAGAAGTGCCAAGAGCTCAACAGTTCGGCCGAAGGCTCGCCGGAATATGCTATTTTCTAAGCATCCTCGCGATATTCCCGTCTTCCCATCCAAGGGACGAGGAAATGTGTGAGACAAAGCCTATCAAATGTCCTTTCCAGGCCAGGAAGGGACACCCTAGTCTTCACCTCCACTTCGCTCCACGGCCGCACCTTCTCTCTCACCCATCAGCATGCCCAACAGAGGAGAGTAGGTTGATATACCAATACAACACCCTCCCTTTTGCCTGAGCAGCTCGGACACCAGTGTTATAACGGATGGTGGCCTAGTGCTCGCATTCACGGCTCGCCTAAAGAGATTGGTCTTACGGAGGATAAAAACCTTGTGGCCGCATGGAATTTTTGTGGCACTGCCGAGCTTGAACTTGGGGGTCCCAACGCCTTGACCTCGACGATGCCGCGTGTTCTATCTTTTCCTTCTTCACCTCAAGTGAGGGGGCAAGCGGGTTTGCTTTCCCCGTTCTCGGGAATCGGGCTTCGAGGAATTAGTTGTGGAGGTAGGTGGTGGGGACGACATTGTGTGACTTGAGGAAGAGGCCAGTCCAAGTAGAATCTTATTAGACCCATGATCCATTTACCCACTGATGAATGCGATCAATCCATCCATCCAGACCCATTGATGGTGGATTGTTCAAGCTTGATGAAGAACAAGCTATTACAGTGCGCCGTCTAGCTGCCCACTTCAGAGGCGCAATGTTAATTTACAGAAGCCCGTGGGGCCAGCGTCTCGAGGGAAAGTGGGGGCTCTAACACAGCTAAGTGTGGCTTGAAACTCCAGGTAACGGAGGCATTGGAACCTCGAAGTCGAACGCGGATTGGAGGAGTGGAAGATAGCCCTGAAATGTGGCTTCTCGCCGTTGAGCGATTACCAGCTGATCCCTGACGTAAAGTCCTGGACAAAAGAGGCTAGGAGGGCTGACCGGAGGCCAAGTTTCTGCTGGGGAGGCAAGAGCAATGCTGAGCGCTAAGTACACGAGGGCATGC